ACTGTACTAGGTAAGGCAAATCATTTCTAAATCCAGAAACTGGGTGTGTTTTTCTTCTTTGTTTGGGAGAATCTGCAATGTATGTTTGCTGCTGGTTCAGTTGTGCTGAGAGTTTCTACCGTTTCAGGCAGTCTGAAGACTTGGCCTGCAAAGCATCTCAGTCTGTACACCCAGCTTTTTTCTTCCTTTTTTGGTTGCCTGGAAGATAAAAGTTGTTTACAGGAATGGTCTTGTACTATAAACGTCAGGACGTCAGGGCTAAAGAAATCCCACGCTAAAGGGAAAAAAGAAGCCAAGGAAATTGCTTTCCCCCCCCCCCCCCCCCAGTCTGATAGTGTGTGTGTGTGTGTGTGGTCGGTCGGTCAATGGCACATGGGCAGATGAGTCACAATCTATAAATTGGCTCCAATGAAAAGTGCAGTTTAGAACTAACCTTGTGGAAAGCCAGAGCATTTTAGAAAAGTTCTTAACAAACCCACACCATTCTGGGAATTTGTCCTACTTTCTGAAGCAGACAGAGCTTCAGTAGAGTGGACGGTGCCAGCTGGCCACTCATAGTCATGTAGCTGGATTGAAAATGTTGCTGCTTACTGCGTCTACAATACATTACCTGTACAACATTCTACTCAACATATATCATGTTCTCACAACACTCCTGTGAGAGAGGCAACTTGTTTAAATGTGAGCTGCCCAAGGGAATCAAAATGAAACTGGCTGGCTTAACACATTGATTGTATTGGCCACTTCTCAGTCCTTCTGGAGATTGTCAAAAAGTGGTAACTTGAGTAAAATTCTCACACTTCCCCGAATAAAATTACTATAGTTATTGACATCTTCACAGGAAATTACTTCGTTGTTAAGCCTGAAGCACTTCTGGATTTTTTAGAAAGCCTAGTGGACGGCACCACAAAATGTCTGCCATGGCCGTGGTCAAACCCAACATCTTGGAAGGTTTCAAGCCAAGTGTTGTGCTACAGATGCTGAGCTGATGCCTCCTGGGCTTTTCTGAGATGTCTTTGGCACAGGGGAGGAAGACCAAAAGGATTGCCTCCTTACATTGCAGAAGAGAGGCGGTTTTAGTTTTTAGGGGAAGAGGAGGGTTTGCTGCCTGCAGGATCACACAGAGAGGTTTCCAAGCCCAGACTAAAAAAAACCCTGTGTCTTTGGCCAAGGTGAGGATACATAACTGCTATATACCTACACAGGATGGGCATGGACTGGCCCAAAGTCTTCTGTGTTTTTTCCCGCTCTGTTCAAGACTTTGCATTGTCTTCTCAATCAAGAAGCAAGCAGGCACCAGGAAACAAATAGCTGAGTTCCATGACACCCTCGGGCTCCATGCTGGGGGTCATTTGTGCTGAGAGAATCTTGTGGCTTCCACCAATAATATTGTCCTGGCTACAGGTAGTGAAATCATTGGCTGAGTGTCAGGTTTCCCAATCAAACACTCAACAACATTCCTAGATAAAGTCCAGTTTATTGAGCCTAGGTGGTACCATGAATTCTTGAGTCAGGAATAATGAAAAGCAAGATGGTGGTTACAGATATACCCCCTTCAAACCAGACCCCCGGACACCACAAACCCAATAAGCAAGCACCTACAAGCGCGTGTAAAAAGCAGCAGTTAGATTTCCAGTGGGAAAAGTGGACGAGGGAGAGCCAAGCCTTCAAGGCCACTAGGCAGATAGTAAAGGCAGCAGAGACACGGGGGTGGAGGAGGGTGCCGGAGAGGATGGAGGGGCCCAGAGGCCAGGCACCCCCTCCCATATTCCAAGGCATGGCAGCTTCAGCTGACACTGAGACGCTGGGGTGTTTCCAGGAAGAACAGCTGAACTGAGCAGTTCCCACTGATAGGACTATTCATGATTAGAGGAAAGTAGTTTTCCGTTTTTGAATGGCTATTTGTTAGTTATAAGTGTTGGAGTTGATTGTTTCCTACTAGCTCACCTTGTAATATTACTGTTACCTGAACACGGAAAATAATTTGCTTTAATTAAAACTAGCTGACCAAGCTTTATGTCAACCATCTTATTTGTGTTTGCGCACATGTGCATGTACTCCTGTATGCTTGGGAGTTGTGTATTTGGCAACCAGAAAGTCTTAGTCTGTGAGAATGTGCCATCCTTTCTAACTGGTGATGAGAATAAGATAAAGAAGACAGGATCCTGTGGACAGGGGAGATAGCTAACAGTTGTGTGTGGAGGGTCCAAGTAGTTATGTTTAGGCTCTTGTTACTGAGTTCAGTTGTACAACACAATTAAATGTAAATGAAATTAAAGGTTTAAGAGAAGATTTGTTTAAATTTCTTAGAATTTTTCAATTAAGATACAATTTGGCTATGCAGCCCAGCTGGAACCATGGTTCCTGGGAATGGCTCCTATGTTATCAACTTTGTAACCTAGAGACTGTGAATGTAATGTCTGGAAGTTGCCGTTCTTTGCTAGGTTAACAGAGGGATTGCTCCTCCTGACAAAGGAAGGAAGTTTGCTTAGATTAAAAAACAAACAATGTTTTTTTAATTCTTCCTTTTCTCAGTTGATTTAGAAATATGTTTCTCTCCTAGTAGAGACTGCTGCTAGAGAGAACTGATCGTTTGTCTTCCAGTTTCTTTGAGTACCAGGGATGAGATGATAAGGCAGTGCAAGCAATTATTAACAAATCCAAGTCTCTGTTTAGAAAGATTTAGCTTGAATTGAATTGATACTTTAGCCAAAATGTTATTAGTTTGCAGTTAAGGATTTTTAATTGAATTGCCTTTATGTGTGGGAAATCCCTTCCCACCCAACATACTCCCTGCATCACGTAGTATTTTTATTTATTTATTTATTTGCAACATTTGTGTCCTGCCTTTCTGCCCTTACCATTAAAATCAACCCACCCAACTCACATCATTAAAACAATTTTAAAAACAGTTAAAATACAAACAAAACATAAAATTGGTTTAAAACTGGTTAGGAAGGAGGTATCACTGAGGGAATGCGAAATGAAACCAAAAAAACCTTCACGCACTGGCAGAAGATGGCAACAGAAGAGGACAGATGAATCTCCCTTGGGAGAGAGTTCCAGAGCTTTGGTGTCGTGACCAAGAAAGTCCTCTCCCGGGTTGCCACCCACCTAATCTTTGGAAGTCAAGACTTGGACCTTGAATTGTGCACAGAAACAAATTGGGAACAAGTGTAGGTGGGCAGAGACTTTATAATGGTGGCACAGACTCACTTTGCCTCCTTATGTTAACCGGCAAAATCCAAATCTCTGTTTACTTTCAATGTCAGTAAGTACAAAGGTAAAATGCTGCCAAACTTGAGTCACCTTTGCAATGTCAAATGGAAAGCAGAATTTAGGTATACTCTGGAGTACTTCCTGGTCGCCAAAGTCCTCTGGAAACTTCCACAAAACCACTGGATCTGGGTGGGCCATAGCAGATGGCCATGACCCCTGGGATCTTTGGGTCGCCAACTGCTCCTATGACTACCTCGATGAGAAGCAGCCCTATAATGGTGGCAGTATCCACTGATCAGACCTGTGGATGCCTAGTCAAGTCTAATTTGGCCTTCTCCTTCAGAGAGGCAGGAGGCATGACACCCTTGCTTAGTGAGCATGCAAAGAGAGGCAGGAGGCATGACACCCTTGCTTTCTGTGTCCACACACTTCAAAGAAAAATGGCTGCTTTAAAAATGAAGCTGAGGAGAATGAACTACACAGCTTTGGATCACCACTGGGTGAAAGGCAGGGTATAAATTAAGTTAACAGCAACAACACTGCAACCCTTGAGTGAAGAGTGCTGCACCAGAGCACCTGATATCTGAGCAGTTGCCATTCCTAATGCATGCACAGGAGCTAATTTATTGGAACGAGGAGGGAAGGAATGGTTAATATAGTATTTTTGAAATGTTGTAAGTCACTTAGCAAACCTTATGGCTGAAAAGCAAGGGATAACCTAACCCTACTAAATTTCTCCTGAACACTTTCAGAAGCACCTTGTGAGGCATGGAATGACTCCTCTTCATGAAAAACAAATCTAAATTGTCCTTGAGCTCAAAACACTACTTTTACTGTTCTTTGGTTGTTGGTCAGTGTTTTAACCATCTTTGTCTATTGCTCTCAAATCCTCCAATCTCACTCCAGGTGAAATCCTGACCTCTCAAATTCATTAGCACAAGATTCCAAAAGAAGTTAAAGTACGATTCCACTATTGTGACAGACAATTAGAAAAATAGCTTAGCGGCTCTAGGCATGCCTGTATTATACTGGGTCCATAAAACATGTAGGGATTTTTAAAAATGTCTTAGTCATTGTCTTTTTCGGTGAAATTAATTCCATATAAATTGTCTGGAAACAATAAAAACTGGAATATATGTCATTCAAAATTAGTAGTATAATTTTTAAAATGGTGAAGATCTTTCATAATATTCTTAACTTTTTTGGGGGGGGAAATGTGTTTCTTTAGAGATAATGGTGATGTTTTAAAACAGTGTGTTTTTTGTGAGTGGTGAGCCTTCCTTCCTTCCCCCCCTCCTTTATTCTTTGTTTCCAAAGAACAAAAAAGGAGGTGCTGTAAATCATTTACTGCCCCTCTACAGAGCAGAATGGATGGATATAAAACACCAAGGAACGAATCCAAAGGGATAGCACGAGGTGAGGGAAGTGCTTCTCCTCCCTCATAAAGAACATGCTAAGCTGCTGCTATAGTAAAAGACAAAAATGTCAGGGGAGGGGAGAAATGGGTTTTCTTCTTGTAGGGAATTGGTTCTAAAATAGGTAGTGAGTTTAGTGTGAGTAATCACGGTCTCCACTGGCTAGCTTTGTGGAATCCTATTGTTAGACCCAGAACACCCTTCTGTCTTGAGATGGGCAGTGTTCACTGTTGTGAAGAGATTTAGAAACACCACAGAGTAAAAGCTGTGAGGGAACCCTTTGTGCTAAGCACTTACCCAAACTTTCCCAGTTCCAACTAGGACACAAACCTCTGGAAGGTCAGAAACACTCCATACAAAGGGAGTTTCCTGGCTAAGGGAACTCCAGGTCTGATTGCACCTTACAAAATGCCCTTTTCTGCCCTCCTGGCAGTTTCTCTGCTGATTTCTTCAAGTGGGACCAACACTGGGGAGGGTGAGTTCTCTCAGTAAGAATTTATGCTGAAAGGATTTTCGTGTTTTCTAAAACATTACTGACCTAGTTCCACATTTGCCTTTGTTTTACTTTAGCTATAGACAAGTGCATCAAAATGTTAACTTTGGAACATAGTTCATGGCATAATTTTAAATTCCTACAGGCTGTGGTAAATGTATGTGCAAGGACTGTATAGATATATTAAAAGGTAACAACAACATTTAGAATGTATTTTGTACTGAAATACTTTTAGTACCAAATATTTACACCTACACTTAGGAAGATTCTTTATGTAATTCGGAACTAAGATTTTAAAAATAATAATCCTGCACTAACCTTTGTTTGAATTGTAATCATGACACTAGCTTTCTGCTGTTCAATAAGACCTTTTTTAAAATTGTGGAAGCTCAGTAAGATCAATCTGTATGGGTCTGGTTGTCTGGTAATATGAGTTAATTGTTTTTCAGTTGTTCATATGTGTTTGATCTGAACTACATACATAGGCTTAGTTACGGTTCTAAAAAGATGGGTTACAAACTTTAGAATAAATAATAAATTGTTAAAATACCATGTGTGAAAGTCCTGATTGTAGAAATCAGTGCCTGTTTCTTTCTTTAGTATTGATTTTTTCTAGCTAGTTTATTTATCCCTTCAGAAGAATTAGCTATCAATTACAATGTGTTTTTTCTGCCTCTAGACTATTGGGGTGACTTCTATTTTTAATAACAGCATTCTCAACTGGGGGAAAAAATTGAGTGACCTTTTCACTCAATCACCATTCAGCTTTTGGAGATCTTGAGGAACACAAATAAACCAGAAGAAATTGATGAGAATTAAAAATATTTTATTGATGTACTTATTTGGTTTATTTATACCTACCATTGGCCTGAAAGTGACTTTCAAATCAAATCTATTACATATTTGTATTAAACTGGGTTACTGAGGTGCACAGTTTTGTTTTAAATCTCTAATATGTTTTCCTTTCTAATACCAACACTTATAAGTCTTCTCCTTTTTTCCCTTTATCCTGAATAATTTTCTTTGCCATTTGAAGTGGACAGGGAATATATTGGAGGGTATTTAGGGAAATATACATCATACTGTTTTATTGCATCTCTGCTTTGTATCTGGAAATGAATTTCTGAGGGAAACCCAATTAAAATGTCCAGAATGAGAGTTTAAATCTTACTTTGTGTACCAATCCAGTAACAAGGTACTTAATTCCATGACTGGAATTAAGGAAGAGCTAACTATTTTAATAGATCTTTCAGTAACAAAATACAGAAGGGAGTCCAAAGGGCTTTTGGATGAACAGTCAGAGTTAATGTAGTTATAGCAAAGCTCTCTGGTTTATAATACAAATGAAACCAACACATCAAACTTAAAAACTTATAGCAATTGCATCTGTATCCAGTAGACTATAAAATGGTTTTCACGCCCTGCAGACCCCCTTACTTCCAATGACTGTATTGCTTCCGCTGCGTGGCTGCTGTTTCTCCTATATCAGCATCAACACACTCTGAAACATTGCGCCCAGAATGGCTTGGGGTGCTATTGTAAGTGTGGACACATCTTTGGTTAAGCAAAGGCTGTGCTGATAGCTGGCATGGGGTGACCAGATCATTAATGGGCAAAGTGCCTGTATCCCTAACCATTATGTAGAGTTATACTTTCCCAGTGTAGTATAGATGTGGTGGAGACCCAGATTCAAAACCCCATTCTGCTAGAAAGCTTGCCCACCATTCATTCTTGGTCTAACCTACCTCACAGGGTTGTAGTTAGGGGGAAATAGAATCATCTCATCTATGTACACAGCCATGGAGAGAGGGTGAAAGGTACATTTGTGGAAGGAAGGTGTGGCCTGCAGGTATAGAAAAGAGGCTTCCTGGCCATGTTCTATATTATACAGCTAAGAAAAAGCATGTATTTGTATTAGCTGCTTCTGTACAGATATCAGTGGGGCATCTGGCTACCTTCCAGCTGCATGAATTTGGCACAGCCCTGTTTTCCTGTTGTTCTGCAGAATTCTTACTGTCACTCTTCTGACTTCCTGTAAATTAAGTGCTGTTTCTTGACTACTCACTGGCAGATTGGCACCTACGTGGCTCTTAATTCTTTTCAAAGAGGTCACAGGAATTTGAAAACAGGAGTAGTTCTTCTGATTCTACATTTGGGTGTGCATGGCAAGATAAATTCTCTCAATTTGATCTATCAGGATCAGTCTTCACATTTGCTTGGCATTGTTATGCCCTTTAGTATGTAACACATTAAGTTGCTAAATGGTTGACTGAAAAGAAGCAGGCTAAAGTATGATCTCCCTTTCTTTTTGCAGTATTTAATTTTAGAACAGCTCCTGTAAGCAGGGATGCTCAGTCACCTGCCGGTTTGGCTTGCAGTCTGCTTGCCAGTTGCAGTCAAGGAACTGTTTGCCAAACTGTTTGGCTATATCCGAACAAAGCTGGATATGTCTGTTTGCATGAATAGACTGCTTTCTTGCAGCTGCCCCCTCACGCCACCTGTCTGCCACCGCTGCCGCCGCCAATCGCTAAAAGTCACAGTATTAGAGGAAGAAGATTCTGTCTGAGATTTTTGAGTGGACTTCGTATTTAGCTCAGAGAGCTTTGCCAAGGAGAGGTGTAAAACGGTTAATAAGTAAATCCATTTTCCTTCAGCAATTCATCAATTTGGATCCCCTTCTGTATTTTATGTTCCTTTAAGATTCATGTGCCTGCAGAGGCTGCCCGTGAATCTAGCTAAATTTGTGACCGGCATGCCCTCTGTAAGTTTATGTAAAGGATACAGCTGACCACACAGGTGCATGTAGGTAAGTTTACTGGGCCAGCTGTGACTCCAGGGGGATACATTTCCAAAAAAGATTTTATTTGAAGACTGCAAGTGCTACAGCAGCTGCAAGCCTAAAGCACCCATGTGTTACTCGGGACCAAGGCACAGCCAAGGACATGCAGCAAAAGCAACTGCTGCCCTAGAAGCAGGCACAAAACGTCTTCACATGGTGCTCAAAATGCATGTCAGCAAAACACATCAAGGATCAGGAGCTCGCCTCACACATATGCCTAAGGGAATTCAATCTGCCATTTGTGTTTGTGTCACGGGTTGCAGTATCCTTGTCTGCCACACCATCTGAAACAGTATGAGTGTATGTGTTTGTAGTCTTGAAGGCACGCTGTCGTTCGTTCATCCCAACGAGATGCCACGTACCCCACTTTGTGCTTGCTCTCTAAACCATGCAATATTCTCCTCTCAGATTCTGAACTATATGTCAACCTTGCCACTTCATGGGGGTCAACTTATGTTGCAGCCTAGAGTTGTGACACTGCAGCTGAAATGCCATCCTATCTCTGCAGAGCCTCTACAACTCTGTTTGAGTCCATTTATTTCCAAACATTTCTCCTTTTTTCATCTTCACATTAATTTCCCCCCTTTTCTACTGACTTCCCTGGAAAACACTGGCACTGCCTTTTGTATCCCGTCAAATTGGGATACATTCATGGGGGTCCATATCAAAGATTCTTGACATGGGATCCTTCCCGATTCATTTCATACAGATACAAGAAAGACACCCAGTTTTATAAGCACTTAATTGTCACAGGACAGAATAGGCAGAGGCTGGTGACTGACATTCCAAAAAGGCAAGCTGGATGGTGGAGCTGACAGAGGGAGGGGTTTGGTACCATAAGATCAGGAGGCAGACTTTGCGGGGGAGGGGGGAATAGAGAGGCAGATATTTTCCTTCCACTCTCATGAAGACAGACAGTAGGGCAGAGCAGCCATTTGGGAACCACAGGGAGATAACTGGACCTTGGGCTAAAATCTTGTCCCAGAGGCAGGCACAAAACCCTGCCTCTTTCTCCTTGTGCACACAAGACGACCTATATGAGTATATGTGTAAGTGGCGTCAAGTCACCACCAACTCATGGCGACTTCAGCATGGGATTTTCAAGGCAAGTGAGAAGGAGAGGTGGTTTTCCATTGGCTTCCTCTGCAGAGCCTTCCTTGGTGGACTCCCAATCAAATACCAACCCTGCTTAGCTTCTGAGACCTGATGAGACAGAACTATACAATGTTGGTTTCCCTTCCCCCCATATGACTACTTGGCGGTAAATACATACCAGACTTGGCTGAAAATTTCAAGGAAAGAGCAGTCTGGTTTTCTTAAATCAACTATCAGTTATAGATGATTGTTAAAAATTACTTTTAAGGATTCCATAAACTGAGGGATTTTTTTTTGTTTGATTTTTCCTGTTTCCAAAATCCTTTTTCCTTCTGGTCTCATTGCTAAACCTCAGTTTCTAGTGGGTAGAAATGTAAGAATGTGCATAAAAAGCATGAAGAAAGCTCGCCTTCCATTTTAGCTACCCAAAGGCTAATGATCCCTTCCTGCATCCAAATTACAGTGTTTTGTCAAGTCAATAACCTTGGTGACATTTCAGGAGACAGCACTATGTAAGAACCTTCAATGGAACTGTGTAATGCTCCAAATAAGAATATGAATCAACCAGCTAAAACGTCTCTGGACTGTTTCAAAGGAACTTAATGCCTCTGGTTACTCCAATTGACTGGCCTTTGCTAACTGAATATTATGGTTGGTCAATAGCTCATTCAGGTGCATTGACAAGCAGCAGGCAAAAGTAAGCAAGATGATAAGGATCCAAAGCAGGCAGATTTGGATTTTCTGCATCAGGCACTAAAAATATCTCCTGTCTACGCAGAAAATGCTATAGTTTTCATTCACAATATTCTTTTCATTTGCAATGTTCTGATGACATACCTGAAAACAGGCACATTTGGATAAAGAACAGCAAGTGGTACATTTACAGTGCAATCCTTAAAAGGTCCACTGATTTGAACGAGTAGAATCGGAGTATATGGAGTGGGTACAATTGGAATATTCCTGCAACAAACTTAGATGCCTAAAGTTAGTTAATGCAGGAAAGCCAAAGGTAGAACATCTCTGACAGATGGCTCTTCAACCTCTGCTT